TTCAACGAAATGATGTCCCTTTAATGTGTAATGCAAATATATATACCTGATTTGTATTCCTATTAAAGTGTACTTCTGTCTATTTTGTAAAACTGATTGTGTTTCTGTAACGTCCAATACATGAAAGTTATTATATATATATATGACAGTGAGCTGGATAGATGTTTTATATTGTTACTATTGTCAATTAACGACAGGTATGTAATTGTGATATATTGAATCTATGTGTTATTGAATAGACAGTGAAACATGATTATATCTAATCAGTTTGTTGAGAGGTTTGTGTAACCTACTACAAGTTACCATATATACACTGTAGGTCAGTTAAACCTAAGTAAAGCATAAAAACCCTCCCTGTTGTCAGTTTATTGAGAAAATATATCGATTATTTATCAATAGATGCTTACGGTTCATTGACTCTGATTCCCCGTCCTCCCCCGATTAGGAAACAGGATTCAAAAGTAGGATATATGAGATCAGCCGGATAAGAAATGATTTAAAACTTTGTATGACAGGATTAAACCAGTACTGGGTGATCGATAGCTTGATAGCCGTCATACAATACATGTTTGATCTACATATACAACACAGGCTTTGTTTCAGTACGATTTAAGTAGTTCATATTTATACAGTAAAAGGTGAGGAAGAGTATGATAACAGAAAGAATACCAGTGAATTCACCTAATTCATTCGATATCCTAGTCGTGAGAAACCCAAAAACCCCTACAGCTTCTCCGACTCCTGGTAAAACCCCTCTCACCCTATCCCCACCCATATCCTTACCCTCCAGACGTCTTGCAACGCTGCCACCCATTGTACCTTCAGTTGTACCTCTGCCCCTGTATATTCCATGACTCAGTTATAACCTCCCCCTGTATATTCCCTGACCCAGTAATGTCCTCCCCTGCCCCTGTATATTCCCTGTCCCAGTAATGTCCTCTCCCCTGCCCCTGTATATTCCCTGTCCCAGTAATGTCCTCCCCCCTGCCCCTGTATATTCCCTGACCCAGTAATGTCCTCCCCTGCCCCTGTATATTCCCTGACCCAGTAATGTCCTCCCCTGCCCCTGTATATTCCCTGACCCAGTAATGTCCTCCCCTGCCCCTGTATATTCCCTGACCCAGTAATGTCCTCCTCTCCCCTGTATATTCCCTGACCCAGTAATGTCCTCCCCTGCCCCTGTATATTCCCTGACCCAGTAATGTCCTCCCCCCTGCCCCATGTATATTCCCTGACCCAGTAATGTCCTCCCCTGCCCCTGTATATTCCCTGACCCAGTAATGTCCTCCCCTGCCCCTGTATATTCCCTGACCCAGTAATGTCCTCCCCTGCCCCTGTATATTCCCTGACCCAGTAATGTCCTCATCTCCCCTGTATATTCCCTGACCCAGTAATGTCCTCCCCTGCCCCTGTATATTCCCTGACCCAGTAATGTCCTCCCCCCTGCCCCTGTATATTCCCTGACCCAGTAATGTCCTCCCCTGCCCCTGTATATTCCCTGACCCAGTAATGTCCTCCCCTGCCCCGGTATATTCCCTGACCCAGTAATGTCCTCCCCTGCCCCTGTATATTCCCTGACCCAGTAATGTCCTCCCCCCTGCCCCATGTATATTCCCTGACCCAGTAATGTCCTCCCCTGCCCCTGTATATTCCCTGACCCAGTAATGTCCTCCCCTGCCCCTGTATATTCCCTGACCCAGTAATGTCCTCCCCTGCCCCTGTATATTCCCTGACCCAGTAATGTCCTCCCCTGCCCCTGTATATTCCCTGACCCAGTAATGTCCTCCTCTCCCCTGTATATTCCCTGACCCAGTAATGTCCTCCCCTGCCCCTGTATATTCCCTGACCCAGTAATGTCCTTCCCCCTGCCCCTGTATATTCCCTGACCCAGTAATGTCCTCCCCCCTGCCCCTGTATATTCCCTGACCCAGTAATTTCCTCTCCCCTGTATATTCCCTGACCCAGTAATGTCCTCTCCCCTGTATATCCCCTGTCCCAGTAATGTCCTCTCCCCTGTATATTCCCTGTCCCAGTAATGTCCTCTCCCCTGTATATCCCCTGTCCCAGTAATGTCCTCCCCCCTGCCCCTGTATATTCCCTGACCCAGTAATGTCCTCCCCTGCCCCTGTATATTCCCTGACCCAGTAATGTCCTCCCCTGCCCCTGTATATTCCCTGACCCAGTAATGTCCTCCTCTCCCCTGTATATTCCCTGACCCAGTAATGTCCTCCCCTGCCCCTGTATATTCCCTGACCCAGTAATGTCCTCCCCCCTGCCCCTGTATATTCCCTGACCCAGTAATGTCCTCCCCCCTGCCCCTGTATATTCCCTGTCCCAGTAATGTCCTCCCCCCTGTCCCTGTATATTCCCTGACCCAGTAATTTCCTCTCCCCTGTATATTCCCTGACCCAGTAATGTCCTCTCCCCTGTATATCCCCTGTCCCAGTAATGTCCTCTCCCCTGTATATTCCCTGTCCAAGTAATGTCCTCTCCCCTGTATATCCCCTGTCCCAGTAATGTCCTCTCCCCTGCCCCTGTATATTCCCTGTCCCAGTAATGTTCTCCCCCTGTATATCCCCTGTCCAAGTAATGTCCTCTCCCCTGCCCCTGTATATCCCCTGTCCAAGTAATGTCATCTCCCCTGTCCCTGTATAATCCCTGTCCCAGTAATGTCCTCTCCCCTGTATATTCCCTGTCCCAGTAATGTACTCTCCCCTGTATATTCCCTGCCCCAGTATTACCCTCTCCCCTGCCCCTGTATATTCCCTGCCCCAGTAATGTCCTCTCCCCTGTATATTCCCTGTCCCAGTAATGTCCTCCCCCTGTCCCTGTATATTCCCTGTTCCAGTAATGTCCTCTCCCCTGCCCCTGTATATTCCCTGACCCAGTAATGTCCTCTCCCATGTATATTCCCTATCCCAGTAATGTCCTCCCCCTGTCCCTGTATATTCCCTGTCCCAGTAATGTCCTCTCCCCTGCCCCTGTATATTCCCTGTCCCAGTAATGTCCTCTCCCCTGTATATTCCCTGTCCCAGTATTTTCCTCTCCTCTCCCCTGTATATTCCCTGTCCCAGTAATGTCCTCTCCCCTGCCCCTGTATATCCCCTGTCCAAGTAATGTCATCTCCCCTGTCCCTGTATAATCCCTGTCCCAGTAATGTCCTCTCCCCTGTATATCCCCTGTCCAAGTAATGTCCTCTCCCCTGTATATTCCCTGTCCCAGTAATGTCCTCTCCCCTGTATATTCCCTGTCCCAGTAATGTCCTCTCCCCTGTATATTCCCTGCCCCAGTATTACCCTCTCCCCTGCCCCTGTATATTCCCTGCCCCAGTAATGTCCTCTCCCCTGTATATTCCCTGTCCCAGTAATGTCCTCTCCCCTGTATATTCCCTGCCCCAGTATTACCCTCTCCCCTGCCCCTGTATATTCCCTGCCCCAGTAATGTCCTCTCCCCTGTATATTCCCTGTCCCAGTAATGTCCTCCCCCTGTCCCTGTATATTCCCTGTTCCAGTAATGTCCTCTCCCCTGCCCCTGTATATTCCCTGACCCAGTAATGTCCTCTCCCATGTATATTCCCTATCCCAGTAATGTCCTCCCCCTGTCCCTGTATATTCCCTGTCCCAGTAATGTCCTCTCCCCTGCCCCTGTATATTCCCTGTCCCAGTAATGTCCTCTCCCCTGTATATTCCCTGTCCCAGTATTTTCCTCTCCTCTCCCCTGTATATTCCCTGTCCCAGTAATGTCCTCTCCCCTGCCCCTGTATATTCCCTGTCCCAGTAATGTCCTCTCCCCTGCCCCTGTATATTCCCTGACCCTGTGCCATATATGTACGATTTGTTATCGCTAATATATAACCGTCTTTATCTCTAGTTCGTCGTCTTACTACACAACACTGGCTCGTGCGAACGTGACTACAACAATGCCTCTACGCATGCTCGGAACCGTTTATAATCTACAGCAATTTTCATTCAAGTTTTCGTAGTTTATCGGCATTGTGAACTCGTACTGGTCACGGTCAGCTTATCCCTAATGGCCCACAGCTTATTCAGCCAATCAAATCGTTTCTGATATGAGACGAACCAACTTAGGATGTTGACAAGGTACACTATTTACAGTCACAGTGACGATGCAAATTGAAAGCTAACTCATGGGTACGATAGAAAGTAGTACTGTCAGCAGTACAGGTCCACACACAGGTGTAAATGGCACAGGTAACACATATACCAGCCGTAATTAGCAGACGTATGTAGTATACCTACCGCCTTAGTAGGTATATATATAGAGAGAGAGACTTACTACGTTTGGCGCAGTTATATACAAGTATATATATTGATGTATCTTGTATCACAGTGATAACGATAGACACAAGAGGCTAGCAGGAGTGCTGGTATCTAGTGGTGCTGGGAGTTCTTATCACACAAATTCTTCAACTACCGAACTTTGAAGTGTGTTGGTATACAATTGTTCTAAAGTCTAGGATTCAATCTTATTTTCTAAATGAACGGATTTTAGTTTCAATTTTGCACGTGCAATAGTGAATTTTGTTTTCCGACTGTTGGAAGAGTAAATACACGAAACTAAAACCAGTTTTTAAAATCTTAAAAAAAACCTGGAACGGCATAATGACGCTCCTACGTTATCCGAGCTACGTCACGTCTGGAGAACATCATGACGTTATTACATGATCGTCAATATTTGTCTGCGATACTTTGGACACGTCTAATGAAATGAAAGCTCTGATAGTTTGATGGTTTTTTCACCAGCTGCCTTAAAAAACAATTAGCTAAAAAATTATAGTTTTCAGAAAAACACATTTTACGTCAAATTAAAACTAACCTAAAGTGTTAGTTGCCATCTGTATAATCTATCAGGATTTAAACACAAATACGTCATACAAAGCTTTATTTGTCAATCACATGATTTGGACGTTACCTAGAGCGGGAAATAGAACGTTGCTACGTCATTAACGTTGATATTTTATCACGTGACACACTAACGAGATGTCGGGAAAAATATCCCCCTCTAATCGCGTTTCGGACATCCACATAGTGGAGAAAGCCAGCATGTCCCGGCGTAATTCCTCCGCCGATGAGTTCGAACCCGAGTCCACCAAGACAGTGTTCCGAGAAGAGAAAGAGGGCAGCACAAATATCGGAGTGGTTGTTTTCAGACTTACAGTTGCGTCCGTGTGTGGAATAATATTTGGCATCGCCGTAGAAAAGGGGAGAGGTAAGAAATTTATCACATGATTAATTAAGATATTCTGAAATATCCGGACGATGCTATTTTACCAATGTAATTATTTTTATCGCCGTTATGTAAGACAGGCACAGAAAATTGGAAACTACACAATACACAAGTTCTCACTTTTCTGGCACTCTGTTACTACTGCTGTTTTTGTACAGATTCTCCCGTTTATATTGGCTACCTTCCTCTTTTTGTGATGATTTCATTCCTCTAATCAGAGTTATATATATATATATTATATTTATATACTTAACTATCTATTAAGCAGTTACTTAGTTTAGCTGTTATTTTCCGTGCTTTAGAGTTGATAATTCTCTGCGTGAATTGATTATCTCCCCTGATTATAGGGTGTATTCCCCTATTTACAGCTAGTATCCTCTTCTACAAATCCGGTATTATTTTACGGTGATGTTATTGTAATCATCCATCCTATAGTAGTTATATTTCTGGTTACCTCCTGTTGGTCATTTGTCATGGATTTTCAATTATCTCCCCTGTCTTTTATTATTATCTCCCCCTCCCCCCACCCTGCTGATAGATAATCGTATTTTTAAAATTAAGGCCCTTTCTCCGTTTCTCTCACCTCCGCCTAATGGCGCTTCTCCTCCTTAACAAATCTGTGCTGTTAGCTTCAACCAGGGAAATATAATGATAACTCTCTCTGTGTACTCGGCCTCATAATGTTACATACACATCAATGTTTAGGTACCAAGTAGATTACAAACGACATTATAATATAATAACAAGCTTTAAGGTACCACGAAAGAAACGTAAAAACAATATTCATAACAAATATCTGGTAATTCATATTATGTGGACAGACTATTGAATATTGTATATAATTAAGGACAGACTATTAAATATTGTATATAATTAAGGACAGACTATTAAATATTGTATATAATTAAGGACAGATTATTAAATATTGTATATAATTAAGGACAGACTATTAAATATTGTATATAATTAAGGACAGACTATTAATATTGTATATAATTAAGGACAGACTATTAAATATTGTATATAAATCAGGACAGACTATTAAATATTGTATATAATTAAGGACAGACTATTTAATATTGTATATAATTAAGGACAGACTATTATATATTGTATATAATTAAGGACAGACTATTAAATATTGTATATAAGTAAGAACTGTTTTATATTTTATATAAGTAAGAACTATTAAATATTGTATATATAAGTAAGGACAGACTATTTAATATTGTATATAATTAAGGACAGACTATTAAATATTGTATATATAATTAAGGACAGACAATTAAATATTGTATATAATTAAGGACAGACTATATAATATTGTATATAATTAAGGACAGACTATTAAATATTGTATATAATTAAGGACAGACTATTAGATATTGTATATAATTAAGGACAGACTATCAAATATTGTATATAATTAAGGACAGACTATTAAATATTGTATATAATTAAGGACAGACTATTAAATATTGTATATAATTAAGGACAGGCTTTTAAATATTGTATATAATTAAGGACAGACTATATAATATTGTATATAAATCAGAGGACAGACTATTAAATATTGTATATAATTAAGGACAGACAATTAAATATTGTATATAATTAAGGACAGACTATAAATATTGTATATAATTAAGGACAGAATATTAAATATTGTATATAATTAAGGACAGACTATTTAATATTGTATATAATTAAGGACAGACTATTAATATTGTATATATATTGTATATAATTAAGGACAGACAATTATATATTGTATATAATTAAGGACAGACTATATAATATTGTATATAATTAAGGACAGACTAATAAATATTGTATATAATTAAGGACAGACAATTAAATATTGTATATAATTAAGGACAGACAATTAAATATTGTATATAATTAAGGACAGACTATATATATATTGTATATAAGTAAGGACAGAATATTTGATATTGTATATAAGTGAGGACAGAATATTTAATATTGCATATAAGTAAGGACAGACTATTAAATATTGTATATAAGTAAGGACAGACTATTTAATTTTATATTTAAGTAAGAACAAATTATTTGATATTGTGTGTAAGGACGGACAAAATATATAGATATATATTATACCAGGTTAATGACTGTATAGTTACAAAAAGTAAAACTTAATCTATTCGATAAGTAGATACCTAGGACGGATCAAAGCACAGTCTCGATAAACAAAGGATACATTTATATGTAATCGTTAAAATTGTAATACCTTTGTGTATCAAGCCGATGGTCAATAGAATTAGGAAAATAAATTGTTTGGCAAAATGTACAAAGGGTTTCTGATCAGCTCTGGTTCCACCTTACGGTGCATTTTATTGACTTGTCAGGTGCGTCATGAATTATCCCTGGAAAGAATCTGTTTAGGAAGAAAAAACAAAAACAAAACAAACAAAAAACAACAAAAAACAAACAAAACAAAACTTTCCAGCGAATTTTAAATGATTTACATAAAATTCTATCTTTGGGCATGACATAGATAATTGTTCTAGCCTAACACTTATATTTTGACATTTCAGAAGATAAGCAAATTAAAACCTGATTTATTTTCTATTCCAAATAATTTATACAATAGCAAATCATATTTTTATCATATAATAAGTAAATAAATAAATAGATAAATTTATTGATGAATAAACGTACTGACAATTAATGTTTTGTTCTTTAAATATTAGACAAAAGTGATGATGATAACAATACAAGATGCATTATTAATCATATATATATATATATATATATATATATATACATAACATGCCCGTGCATAACAGTTAATGATAAAAAGAGAGCAATTACACAAAAAATAAACCTTTACACAAACAAAACAAAAAACAAAAACAAAAACAAAAACAAAAAACAACAAAAAAAAAAAAAAATCAAAACAAAACAAAAACAAACAAAAAGAAATGAATAAAAAATCAAAAAGGGAAATAAAAAGGAAAAGTAACAATTAGTGTTTATTGTTTTGATAAATGACATAAAAAGCTTTAAGTCTGGTGGTAATTTGTACCACGAAGTATATCAAATCATATTAATTAATTTATCTATTTATCTATTTTGTTTATTTATTTATTCATTTCAGTAATAATGATTATATGTTACTGACAATATTCCCATCAATATTTAAAAAGGCTGAATTCGTCGATTGATTTATATACAAATAAAGAAACTGACAAGACATGTATAGACTACATATTTTTAAATAATTTTCTGATTTACAAATCTTGACTTGGCTTTATAACTATAACTGCTTCAGAATGTTTATCTGTACACAAAGCTTTGAAATTAAGACAGGAAGGCATCTTCTTAGTTATTTTAATTCATAATTTTCATGATATTTCTCCTTTTAAAATATGTTTTTAATCTTACAATGATAAATCATTTGGTTTTAGCTTGTTCGCTAATCCCTTCTAAATACTATCAAATTCGCCGGAACCATTACATATCAGTTTTAAATACTGGTTTATATACCAGTGTAGACATAAGAAATGGAATCAGTATAACAGGTGTATACAATCGATAAACGAATTACAAAGGATCCATACATTCTTATATCGTAATACACATCTAACAATGCAGAAGACGCAGATGTCTAAATATAACTATAGACTTAAGGTTGAAGCAAAAGCGAGTGTATGTAAAATCTAATACGGACACCGGATCTCAACTACCCGTAATCAGGTGTATACCTATTACAGGAACAGATTCAGATGACGTCAGTGTAGATATATTTTCTTTTTTTTTTTTTTTTTTACACGAGACAAGAACAGTTTATGGTGTGATTTTCTAACGTGTTAAAAATGTTATAATTAGGTCTAGAAGATTCGCTTGTTGTTCACTGTCTGACGCCATTAAACATAAGTCATACAGTTCTTTAATCATTGATTTAACTGCATGGTTTACCTTAACATGTCTATGTATTTCTAGCATCAAACTGATAACAAAAATACTCTTATTCATGTCAGAGAGTATTCATTCCTCCTTAATACCTTCCCATCTATTCCCGAATCCTCACCACCTTCCTATCTATTCCCTCCCAATTACCTTCCTATCTATTCCCTACTCCCCACCACCTTCCTATCTATTCCCTCCTCCCCACCATCTTCCTATCTATTCCCTCTCCACCACCTTCCTATCTATTCCCTCCTCCCCACTACCTTCTCATCTATTCCCTCCCCACTACCTTCCTATCTATTCCCTCCCCACCACCTCCCTATCTATTCCCTCCCCACCACCTCACTATCTATTCCCTCCCCGCTACCTTCCTATATATTCCCTCCCCACCAACTTCCTATCTATTCCCTCCCCATTACCTTCCTATCTATTCCCTCCTCCCAACCACCTTCCTATCTATTCCCTCCTCCCCACCACCTTCCTATCTTTTCCCTCCCAACCACTACCTTCCTATCTATTCCCTCCCCACCACTACCTTCCTATCTATTCCCTCCCCACCACCTTCCTATCTATTCCCTCCCCACCACCTTCCTATCTATTCCCTCCTCCTAACCACCTTCCTATCTATTCCCTCCTCCTCCCCACCTTCCTATCTATTCCCTCCCCACCACCTGCATATCTATTCCCTCCTCCCCACCACCTCTCTATCTATTCCCTCCCCACCACCTGCATATCTATTCCCTCCCTACCACCTGCCTGTTACAAAACAGGACTCTTTGTTGCTGAAAGTTATTAAAGAAATAAATAATGTTTTTTATAGTAAATGTAGATGATTAATGTAAAATATTGTTGATTAAAACGTGTTATTCTTGTCTCGTTTCGCTCTGTGGAAAATTGTTCTACATCATTGTATTAACGTTATGTAGATTTCACGACGAATACTTACCATTAATAAATAATCCTGTTTCTGATTTCATTTGCTTTGTGTGTAAAAGCTGCACGGTTCAACAGGTTAAAAGGTTTTCATTGCACTTCTATTGCGCCTATCT